ATGAATATAACTTTCTGATGTATGATAAATCATTGATAATTACTGTACAACAAATGGACAGTTAGTTTGAAGAGACCACAACCATGTAGTCTATCATTCAATTGACAACATACTGTCAATTCTACGATAGTGTAAATGATGTTTAAATTATTTTGTAAAATAATTTTCAATAAGCTTTAAGTTGCTTTAAAAAAGTTGCATACAGTAAATATAAATTTAATTAAACCGATATTTAATTACAATATTACAATCAAACATTTTGGTAACTTTAGCCCAAAATTAAAACATTTATTTGAATGAATAGTAAGTGTACAAAATACATTTTTAAGTTTTTAAAAAATTTATTCAAAATATATATATTATATATCATAAAAGAAACGATAAATTTTACAGATAAAGTGTATTCAAAGAGACTTAAAGCATAAAAGTAATAAAATAATCATTTAAATACTGTTTTGATATAAATTGAGTTTTAAAACATGAATTAAATTCTATAGAAATCAACGGCGACTTCGTCTGTAAATAAATGATTAAGAAATCATTAATTAATAAATTGATCCAAAAATATGTTGCAGTGAATGACTTACTTAGAGAAAGGGTTGACCGGTTGGTTGTGGAGTTCGGCTGATGTGATCACTTGATTGGCAGCCAAATTGGGAGACAAGAGTCGAGTGTCACTAACAGTCCGTTTCCTAATCAACGGATAAATGGATTGAATAAACAAATAAGTACAGGAGCTGTTGTATATGAATAGAGCGCATACCTAATGGGAGGGGAGCCTTGTTTTAGAGTCTCGACGTCGTTGAAGATGACTTGTGAGCCACCACTGCTCGAAGGAATCACTTCTCCTTTGAATACCTGAGTCTCTACCTGTCCATTGATGTCTGCCTCGTGGTGTGTCAGCGCATACTTTGAGGCGTCTTTTATGTCTGCGGCCTTCAAATTAGAGACCGATTTCTTGTTTTTGATTTTCGGTCGCATTACTGTTCCCAATTCGATAGTACCGGCGGGTCTGTGATCTATCCAACGCTCAGTACCGCTTGAAAGGGAACGCCTGTGTCTCGGATTGCAAACTGGAGGGGGATTGTGAGCTGGCGTTCCATCGCCTCCTAAACTCCCAATAGTTTGAGGAGTACTCGACTTAGTGTTTGAATTGACGGCCAAATCGTACTTCGCTTGTGGAGTCCGAGTACTCGCCTGACTGTCGATACCGTTGGAGGGATTGGAGGGCGCATTGGGAACACTGGGTCTAAGGGCTGAGTGAGAGGTGGGATACATAAAATAGTCGCGGAAGTAGTCGGTGTTGGAGTCGGCGTTCAATATCTGCTTCACTAAATTCATCTTATCTTTGGCGACGCATTGCTCCCTTTCCAGTTGGCTCTGCTTCTCAGCCAGAATGCGCTCGAATATACTCTTCAGTCGATCCCTTTCCGAGTCCAGCCTTTCCCTCATCTTGGCTTTCATGCGCTCCTTCTCGAGCTCTGAAGTACTTAATTCTCTGCACTTGTCGTCCAAACACTGTTGCATTGCTTTCAAATTGCGGTCCATTTCTGACATTTTCTTTTGATAAGACTCGCCATACCTTTCACTTTGAAAGCATTTATTCTCATAGTCTTTGACCTGACCCTCTCTGGCGGCCAAATCCATCTGCATTACAGACAACTGGTTTTTCAAATACATGTTCTCTCTCTCCATCTCAGCCACTCTTTGCCGGACAATCAGTTCTGATAAACAAAACTCTTTTTAAAACATTTCATAAACAAAATAAACTAAAATAAAGTTACGGTTCTGTTTGTGTGCCTCGAATTTCATCTCTTTATTCCTCTTTCGTTGTTCTAAGCATTCAATCCATTCGGGGAACACTTTATCGTCTTCTGGATCTTCGAGCTGTTCCAACACATTATCATTAAACTGTATGACGAGTGACTCGTATATCAAACAAATGAGTATAACTTACATAGCAATTAGGAAAGGCAGGCCCCACCACGTTAATGGCCGCCAAGTCAACTGAACCCAAATTGTCGAATAGTTTTGGGACTGTTTGGCGAAAATTAAATCGATTGACACTTCTTGAAATCAACACATCCTGAGAGTGTTCCGCAAACTTCATGACATGCTATCAAACAATGAATCCATTAATAAATGCATTCAAAACAGATCCTATAACTGAATACAAACCAAAGTCTCGTCGTAATCGTCGAGTGAAGGGTTGACACATATAATCATTTTAACCTTTCCTTCGCCTTCGAAATAGCTTTTGAATAAATGGGTTAACTTGTTGTCGCGATAGGGAACCACTTTGGCGGTGCCGTTCATCTGGTTTTCTCGCAAAATATCGATACAATTACGTAAAGCCATTAACGAGTTGTTAATACTTCCGGCCTCTCGAAGCCGATCGCCAGTGTTTTTGGTGCGAACCGTTCGCTCACTTCCGGCCAAATCGACAACCGATAGCTGACTCGTCACCAGAAAGCGGTCGTCTTGGATCACTTCAGCGCCGTTGGCATCGATGGGCGCCTGAACCACGCGAATGGTGAACACGCTGTGCGAGCGACTCGACTCGGTGTTGAGGCTCGTGTGTGCCATACGACGCCTTCGGACGCCTTTTATGAAGAGCTCGAACGCCTCGTCGGCACTCTTCACCTCCACTTCTGTGCCGGTGTTGACAAACACTCGACGTCTGGCGTCTTCGCGCAACACTTTCGACTGCGGCTGACGTATGGCTTTGAGGTAATCAGTGGTCTCGTCCAACAAGTCGTAGATATAGTTGTTGTAGATCTCGACATATGATATAAAGATGGCGTAATGGTTATCACAATTTATGTCCGAAATGACTGTCGATTCCCTGAACCGTTGGTCCCATTCCTCGTTATTCTCCTTCTTTTTGGCCGAACGCGTGGCTCTTGGAGTGAATGTCGGCTGTGATGGTGTCTTCAAGACGTTTCTCTCCCTCTGCTCTCTCTGGCTCTGAAGGATGGCGTCGGGCGTCGCCTGAATCACGAAATGGTTACTGCCGTCCGGTTTGAACACATATTTACGGCTCTGAATGTTGTTTTGAATCAATGTATTGAACAGTAAGTCCAGAGAACGGGGAAGTATTCCCGGCTCTGAAGGCGTTCCCGCAATGGTATACGTCTTGCCCGAAGAGGTGATGCCATACGTGAACAGAAGGCCTTCAAAACAAAGTATGAAATAGTGGTCTAATATGTGACACAAGTGTCAAATGCCTACCGTTTTTGCCGTTCACTAAATCGGAGACCAATGGCAACGCTATGTCCGTAAAGATCTCCTTCTGAGACGTGTTTTCGCTGAAGACTTGTTTGAATTTATAGAAGAGTTCATTGCGTTTGTCGGGAGGAGACAAACGAAGTAATGTGTTATTAGTGGCCACGCGATGGACGGCCACCACATCCGCGTAATTGCTAAGAGGTCTCAACCGACAGAACACTTGGACGGGCTCTTTGGCGGACCTGTTCTGAGGGGTAGGTTTGGGTCGAGTGGGAGGCGCCGTCTTCTTCGACGGGGTCTTCGCTGGTCTGCAAACAACACAACAAACGGTTAGCACACTAGCCATGAGTGGTGCACACCATCTCACCTCTCGCGCAGTGGCGGCACCATTGCTGCGATGGTTGGATGAGATGCGAGTGATCACTGATTCAGATGTGGTTATGAAGACTGTGTGAAGACATTGACAATGAGTTGAACACTGCATGCAATGAATGGATGAGTCGTTGCTTTCGTTTGAATCGTTGTGTCAATGAATGAATGCTTTGCGCCAATCGTTCACGAGAGTCAACCGACACCAGTCAACAACCAATGAGAGGCACTCTCTTTGCGCGCTAACACATCAATTACGTCCGCATTCACTGCTTTCGGTTTCAGATTGTGGGTCAGGGCTTGACTAACAGTGCAATACTATTGTACAGTCAATTGTTTGAGCAAGGTGTTCATTCTAATTGTTAATTTAATTATAACTTATAACTTTTAGTAAAACAAAAGTATAACAATTTTAGCACATAACTTAAAACTAAATAATGATTAATGAAAAACTGACAAAATACTCCTATGTCTAAGATTTATAGTATAAGTCTAAAGCCGTTTGAATTATGAATTTGTTTTACCGGTACAGTAGATATGATATGAATGATAGGATTAAGATAAGATTCCCCGTACAATTATATTATCATATCAATTAAATATTACTATATTCATAGTTTTTATTTGTATTTATTATATCTATTATTATACTGTAAAAATATCTTATTTTACTAAGCTTTTAAATACTATCATATATCTTATTAAAAAATCTTTATAAAAATCATAAAATATTCTAAAATTTAATTATTGTTTAGTTAAATAAATATTATTTAATTTTGCAGTTTATTTCAATGCTTTAAATTGTAATGATTTTAAGTTGAATGTCATATGTATTGCAGTAATGGTTATCATTTGGATGTGAATTTGCATGAAATGAAGACTTGAGAGAAATTGGGGCCAAATATAGGATAAGCAGTGATGTGTCGGATATATCGATTCGACCCAAAAATCCCTTCTATTGATAGCATTTGTCCATCGATTAAAGCATTAAAAGAAAGCTTTGAATAAACTTTTCATTGAATTGAATAAATGAATAAAAATACAGTGGAGTTGAGTGGAGACCAGCCACTGATCCACTATTTGGCGCATTTTGTTTGCTCTCAATTTCATGTTTGTCTCAAACTTTACAAATCAATAGATTTCCAACAATTGCTTACATTTCACACTTTCTATACTAGATATTACTTATATTATTAACAATTCTTTTAAATTCAATATACTGTATATTAAAACCCTTTACATAATATGCATATGTTTTTTAATTTTATTTTTTATTATACAATATCAATGAATTCTGAAAAATCACTTTCAATTATTAATTAACTTAACTTGAAAGCAGAAAATATTATCAATGATTCATTTGTAAAAGTATTGATCCTATAAATAAATAAATTGATTGTAATATAGAAGAGTTTCACAACAAAGAATATTCTTATGTATAAATATCTGAAGTGTACTGGATGGAGTACATCGTTTTTAGTAAACATGAAGAATTTTTCTCAAAAATGATTTTCACTTTAATGAAAAGTTTTACAAAATAAATTACAAGTGCCTATTTATAAATATTTTTGTCTAAAATATAAATAACCAACATTTTATGATTGTATTTTAAGTGGTTTACAAATATTTTATTATATGTAATACAAATTTTAAACGGTAATTATATTATTTATATAATTATTATTATATACTGTAATTGAATAATAGATTCTTTGCGGAAATGTTTAATAAATTTATATTTCACTCTGTATTCTTGACATGTATTACATTCACATTTAATTGAATTTATTTGATTGAAAGCTTGAAAAATTACAAAAATGATTTGAGATTATAATTGAATATTCAGTGACTGATAATCCAAAACTCATTTAATTTAATTATCATATAAAGTTGTGTTAAAGACCTAAAGTATTATTTAATTATTTAGAGACAAGAAAAACATGTTACTGTCAATCAAAATCTGAATTATAATTTTATTACTGTAATACGGTATATTGTTTTAAAGTTAGAATACACAATATGTCACAAGTGCAATAGTTAGTAAATTAATAGAAAATTGCTATATTTATATAAAGTTAATTATTTTCAATTTAAACTCATATTAACCTTTGTGTTTAGTTTATTACATAAATTAAAAATTATATTTTAAACATTAAAGTTTTATGAATAAATAAAATTACATAAAGATTAGTAGAAAAGAATATTTCAGTAAAATAGTCAAATTCTAGAGGTGTCTCGGAGTCCCCTATTCGATACAGTGATTTTAATTTTCTAAAAAGTAATGTAATGTTAACTAATTATGTTTCGAACATTCCTTCACTTCAGATAGGTTATGAATCAACACATTATGACACTTTACACTTTTATTTTTGAGAAACAAATTTTAGGAATGGGATGAGAGTTCTTATACAATGTTAGCGCACAATATGATAGGCGCCGCCTGTAATCCATATTAATTTGATTCTCTTTTTATATCTTTTGTTTATTGCATAACCCATTGAGTGCTCTTTTGTGCAGAGATTACGGGTTTTATATAATATATAGAAAGGATCATTTGAATTGCGAAAAAATTATCATGAATAATATATTATACATTATAATCAAAGCGTTCAATCAAATATGTTGATTATTCCCATACCTATCCACCCATACCCTACTGTGATTTACAAATTGAAAGAAAAATACAATAATTATAATTAGAAAGTATTTTACTTTGAACGTCTAATGGTTTCTAAGTATGCCACAGTGTAATTTATGAACTTCTACTGAATAATAAAATAATAAATTAGTCATATTCAACAAATTGTTTGTTCTCTTACTTATTAGTTTTCTAACAAATACTACACAATATATTTCTCCAAAAATAGCATCTAACCAAAGACCCTGCTCATTTAGTTTGCAATAGTAAGTTAACATAAATCCTCTATTAATGATGTCCGTTGGAAATAGTGTTCAGTATTTTGTAAACAGAATGAAAGGCATTTGAAAAGAGTTTGAATGCATAGATGTATTGAATAAAGTAAAGAGAAGTAGAATTAGTTGTGACGATGAGAGCAAATGAGAGAAAATGAGATGATTTTTATTTCAAAAGTGTTTTCTTCATAGAGTCCGGATCTGCCAATTAAGTGCAGTTAAGCCCCTCTTCTATTGATTTCATCATTGATTTACGGACTGAATAACATTGGGATAACTGAACACAAGCTGAGACGGACAACTCGAATAAGATTTCAAAACAGAGAGAGAGAGAGAGAGAGAGAGAGAGAGAAGCAGAGCCTCAGGGGATAAGCTATGTCACTAAAATTAAAAGATTTTTCATTGCATTACAATTGATTAATACAAAGCTTGTAAGGAAGTGAAGTCTATCCAATACTTAGTTGTGTAATACTGTGAAATGTATATAATAGGAAATGCATTGAATAGCATTGAAAGGCATTAACTTACTATAAGTGGATGATATCGTTATTATTGATATTAAACACATGAGACAAAAGTGAGACACAGAATATGGAACACCAGTAGAAAAGCGAAGAGAGCTATACTACAGACGATAGAGTGGTAGAGATGTATAGAGCATATCGTATAGAGTATGTACTGGTGAACTGGTATGCAGTGAGGATCTGATGGAAGTGGTGTTTGAGCGCAAGTGCTATCACTGAATATATCGACTCCGGGTTAGCTGTACTCGAATGGCAATAACAAGTCATAGTAGGAGTGATTGTGTTATTTTCATTCGTAATGTCACTCATTTGGTCACTCTATTGGGCTAAGAATCGCAACCAAATTAATTAAAGTGATGTGAACTTCTTCTTCGTATTCATACCATTGTTTGGATAAAACACTGGATTTAAATATGACTTCATTATATGAGTGCTTGAATTTTGTTGGCTTTCAAATTGATGGCAGAGAAGATCATCTGCAGCGCAATCATCCAAATGCAAGACATAGACTATATTACAGAGCACTTCCAAACAGCTCTCTATTTCTCATGTGTTTAATATCAATAATAACGATATCATCCACTTATAGTAAGTTAATGCCTTTCAATGCTATTCAATGCATTTCCTATTATATTATAGTCAAACTTTGCTCTATTCTAATGTAAAGCTATTTTATAACATATTCCGTGTATCCGTATACGAGATTTCACACTAATGTATTTATATCTTGCATAATATACTTAATAAGTTATATCAAAATATATTAATTAATGTCATAATCTTATATTGATGTCAAAACTATAGTCAGCTTTGAAAGATGGTCTCAAATTGAGACTCTCAATGTTTATAATTCTTTATGATTCTGGTAATAGTTTTATATTTGATTAGATATTTGGCAAAAATTAAGACAAGTCTTGTGTCTATTTAAAAGGGCTGTAGGCTTTGTGCCAATTCTTATAACAGAATTTGTAAAACCTTTTTGATTCGTCAGTTTTGGCAAACGTTAACATTTGAATTAAAAATTTCATCAGATTTAGGATGAAAAATGTGATGACATTCTCAGAATATTTGTAGTAAAAAATTGTATTAAACTTATTTGTAAAGCATTATGAAGTGAATGGCTAACTATGTGTGAAGTCTACTATATGTGGTGCACAGGACAGCACTGATGCTATTGTTTGTTATTTAAATGAATATATTCTGCTCAAACTTATCATAACTATGAAAGGCTTAACTCTCATTGTGTTTGAATTTTTTGCAAATTAATTAATATGTGATTAATGGCTGATATGGTCATACACTACAGCCGAGCATTGCTTCCAACGGTTTGCATAATATAGTCATATCGTTAGTCCAATGACTGATAACATGAATGTATGACGAGATGAGACAAAATGAGGCCATAAAACACAATTGTAAACACTTTTGAAAAGTTGTGATGCACTCAAACTTGTATTGATTTTTGCTTTTCATGCTTTCATCGCTCTTCCAGTTTAGGACTTCTATTGATTTTAGTTTCTTCTCTCCTCTCGTCTGCATCTCTTAGTTCTTAGTTTTCTTCTCTTTATCTAACTTTTGATGCATTTCTAAATGCTCTCTCTCTCTCTCTCTCTCTCTCTCTCTCCCACTCACTCACTACGACCTCCAATCATATTTATTGCATGGAGAGTATGGAAAGTATGCATCACTTGTTTTAGTGATCATCAAAGATATCATCTCTAAATCCTTTGTGGTTTAACTTCGGCTCAAATACCATATCATTTCTTTGTTTACTTTCTTCATCTCCTTTTGCTTTCAGTCTTTTATTTTTTATTTATTATAAATTTGAAAAACTCATCACTCAGTCAAAAGTTGAGAGAGAGAGAGAGAGAGAGAGAGAGAGAGAGTGAGAGAGAGAGAGATGTGCCCATAATATAGAACTGCACTGTACTGTACACTGCACTGTATAATGATGAGGAACGGTATGTATTAAGAAGAGAGCAGTAGAGCATTTCATTACATTCTTTCAATGGCCACAAAATACTGACTGTCAGTATAAGACGAGAGTTAAGCGAAATTCAAACTTCTCTAAGAGTTTGAGAGGAAACTAACGCTAACTTAAGTTGAAATTCTTTCTTCTATATTGACATAAAAGAGAGACCGCTCTTGAAATCTGAGATTTTCTTTTTAAACACAAAATACTATTTTGTTATTAAGATTGTTCTGATATTAATATGAATTTTGCGTTTTCTTTAATTTTTAGGCCAAACCGTTGATTTATCACATATAGAGAGAATAGAGAAGCCCTTCCGGCGATCGGGATTCATATCGAGTCAATCGTATGATATGTTTGCGAGTGATAGAAGTGACGACCGGATCGATGGCTCACCTTTTCATCACATGCTTTATAATAATCATAAAATTGAACCATATTTTGATAGCACTGTGCTCTCCACTAATGTCACCATTTCTGAGGGCTCAGCCGCCACTTATCTTCCCTGTCGTGTCCATCAATTAGGCGATCGCACCGTATGTTCATATTTGTTGCCTTTAATTATTAATTATATTTATATTACCTTTATTAGTGTCTATCCGGTTAAACTAGTTTCACTATCTCCAATATAACATCAATCATTTATTATATATTTATAGATATTTTTAAAATTTTATTTAAAATTCCACTCACTTTTGCATAATATGCTATTGTATGATAATTATTATTATACTATATTTGATTTTTACTACAATTTTATTGAAGATGTTACTATATAATTAGTCAATTATGAGTTTAACGTTAAATATACAATTCAATATTAATATATTTTTGATTAAGAACAATCACAGGCTTTAAGCAAATATTAATTTTATTTGTTTAAAATAGTTTTGTTTAATTTTAATCAAATAAAACATTAAAATATTATTCTAGTTTTTATAGTTAACAAATGAGTTAAATGAACAAATACAGTATTAAAAACAATTCTGTATTTTGTGATTTTAAAAATATTAAAATTTCTGGTAATTTATAATAATTTTCAACGTGAATTAAACACCTTATGCTTTTTATTAAAAATTCTAAATGAAATTAAATTACAAATGAATAGAAATGGATTTTTATTAAATTTATTATATAATATTAGAAGTTTTGACAAAAATGAAAATTTCTTTCAAAACTAAAGCCTAAAACTAAAACTAATATTGTTTTTACATTTATTGGATTTTCAGAGGATATAATTTTTTATGTATGAAATATATTAGATCTTTCAGACAGAGGTGTCTTTTCCCATATTTTAAGCTTATTTTATTGTTTAAGACATTGATTTTTATTCATTTTTTCTCATATTTTAATTTCACATAACTTTTGTATGAATTGCGGCAAAAATATGATAAATTGTTTTTATGAGACTGATGAATAATAATGTAATGCATTGGCTTTCATTACAAAAATTTCACTGAAGTAATAAAATATTTAAATATTAAATCTTAGATAATTTCATTTCAATATATGAAATATAATATAATGTGATATAATATAGTATACTAACTTATACAATATACGTTATTACAGTATTATATAACAATATAAAGTATTAGATTTTAGTTAATATACAATATTTAATAATGGTTGCGTAATTTTATATAAATAATAATTAAAATTATTTTGAGTTAATACTGTATTACAACTAAATTTATATTATTAAACTTTGAATTAGACCATTAATAATACCGTAAATATGAGTGAAGTTATTTAATAAAATATATCTGAATTCAATAGAGTTCAAATGAAAATATTTATCTAATGTGACAATAATAACTTACAGTATATTCTCTATCAAAATATTTCCATTATTATTTTCTAATTTAAAATTAAATGGAATTAAAATTGTTACATTATGCTTGATCATAATTTAAAAAGCTTTGAATATGAGGCAATAAATTAGCCAAATAAAGGTCATCAAATATAATACTATGAAGGAGCACTTAATAGAAATAAATTCAAATGAATTGTGTGATGTTTACTTTTATACTTAAATCCTTGCAAATGTTCATCAATTATTAAATCTCAAAGCTTTTAATATATGAAATGCAAATATGCTATAATTCAGTCCACTTTGAATAATAATTTGTTTGTCGACTTTAATCTGAATAAAAAATGGATTCAATTTTTGCAGATAATCAATGTTTGAATTAATCTGACATAAGGATTATGTTAAGTATTGAATAGGGAATAAGTAGTTTAAATTGAGTATTAATCCGATTGTAATATTATATTTATGTATTCAAATATAATTCTACACTTGATTTTTCATTGATTTACTGAACTATGCACAGAATATTATACAGCATTTTACATGTTTGCAAATGATATCTATTGTGAGACTTAAAAATGGTGTTTATATGAGCTAATGATCGGCTCTTCTCTATAATGGATAGAAATTTGAGAAAACCAATGACTTTTATATGCGACTCGTAAAAGTGTAGCAATTCATATCATTATCGTTATTCATATCAATAATATATCAGACAATACACTCAAGAATAACATTAAGTCAGTGATACTTACAGCGAGAGCTATCGTTAGGCAATTGAGTGAATATTTTAAAATTCTTGGATTTCATTTGCTTTACTCTCTTGTGTTGTATTCATTGAATTGTATACAAAGAATTTGCATCAACTCTACTGTATTCACGTCTCAAAGACTCACATTTATCTCAATTTACAACTCAAGTATATTAAAGAAAGTTTAAATATTTTTATTTATAATGAAATTTTTGACATTTCTTTTTCAGACGAATGTAACAAATGATTCGTAGGTTTGTCCCAAATATTGTATAGAAATTCCATACCAATTAATAAAATTAATAAATTATTGTTTTGCTTTTGGGTTGATGTGAATTGCAATTTATTATTCAGATATTATATTATATAATATAATATTAACGCTATTTTTCACTATACTGTTAAGAAAGACAAAAACCAGAGTTTATTCCATAAAGAGATTTATAGCTCTTTTGCAGAAAACAAGATATTAATAACAGTTACGTATAAACAATAGTGAGTCCAAGATTTGTAATCATAACTCATTCACACTGTTGTGTAAGCGTTAAGTAACTAATTTATTTCATCGATTACAGTTATTTATTAAAACTTCATTTTTACTACTAATTAGTCACCGAAATAAATTCAATTATTATAACCTAAACTCGCTATACTGTAGATTACGTGTAATTATTTCCTTTTCACTCAAATATATTAAACAAATTAAAGTCAATATAGCGTTATTGTCACTCTCATAATTGTTTAAAATTTATTTTTGATAACATTTTATATGACGTTAGATGTATACAAAAGTATTACAAATACTGAATATTTCAAACACATATCTCTTTGACTGTGCAAATCACTCATTTACTCACTTTTGTGATATTAGATAATAAAAACATTAATTAGAATAATAAATTAATTTGAAAAATGCATTTAAAATCAATAAAAACGCAAATGAGAAAAGTTTTTGACATTTGCTCCTAAATTAGGGGTAACCCTAACTCTACTCTACAATTACTATACGAATGATTGAATTGAGAAATACGTGATTCACTGCAACCAAACAAAAACTTCATTCAATTCACTCGCATTCACAATAATAACTTGAATTTAAAATTCTCTCATTTTATCGACAAATTCATTAACTAATGCATACAATAATAAAATATAATTTACTTTACGTATACAAAACTGATTCCCGGTTTCCATGTATTACTTGATTACTTGAGGAAAATACATTTTCCAATCTTATCATTTTGTAGATCTCATATATTTTTAGTTTCTTTATTCATGTTTTTACTCACATTTTTTCGATACAATATATAATAGTAGAGTGAATGAAGTCATAAAACAGTTTGTTTGGACTGATGTAGTGCTGGCACAGCACAAGCCACTGATGCGGACAAAGCCTTTGGAAGGACTCGTATTAAACACTTCCATCACTTAGTCTCTAATATATAATACATATACACATACTGTATATACGCTATAAGTCTCCCCTCTTTCCCAATACAACCATATTCTCTGTATTCCCCTAATTCTGACTCGTCTTATATCGACTTCGCCGAGAATCTCAATCCAAAAGATACTTTTATAGCAAACTTTGCGAATTTGGGGATCAAAACTAAATAAGACATCAGTTTTAAACAAACCTAAAAATATTAAACAAACTAAGATTTAGTAAAACTCTAATTCAATTATTTTATAAATCGCTTTTGGTGAAATTCATTACATTTTTATTGCACCAAACTTTACTCAATTCTTACTATCGGTCACAAATACAGGTCAATAATAATACAAACCCTTTCCCTTTACACAATAGTATTATAACTTATTTAGTTTAATATTTTAAACTAAACAATGTAATTTAAGTACTGTATACTGGTATACTAATAAATTCTAAATATACATTATTAATAATTAGAACCTGCTAATTCTTATGATATATTCTATTTTATTATATTATTTTCATTTTATTTAATAAGACTGAGTAAATATTTAGAAATGTCTTAATTGTTCAAATTTAATTATAAAATTTTAATTAAAATATTTATCCGAATATTTTACAATACACTGTCATACACATCTTCAATACAAATCTAAAGCAAATACACCAGTAATATTTATTTGAAAATGTATTGAGAAATTAATAACAAACGAGAATATTTTAGTATAAAGTACTTATTTCAATCTTATAGGTTTAAAAAATAATATTCATTAACTAAATATGTCTTTTTAGTTTAAATAGCGATGTAAATAACTAATTGTTTATATAATACAATTAATACAAACATTTATAATAAGAATATATGAGAAAAATATTACAGAAAGAAAAAAGTTTGCAAATATAGTACTTTTTCTCAGAGAAATACAAACTTCTAAGAAATGGCAGATTTTTTGCAATAAATCACTTTCTAGTCAGCAATCGATAAAATAAGTTTAACTTAAAATATATATTATTTGCTTTAAGACTTTGCAACGAATAATACGTTTGTTGGAGCAATAAATTGAGTTCATATCCATCTTAACCCTGTGTTGACGACTACTTATTTAGATATTTCTTAACATTAATTATATGAAACATCGATGACAATTAAAAATAACATTTTTAATTAATATTCTTATTTAAGATATATTAAATAATTTAATATTTTTAGTGTATAATTAAATTAAATTTAATTAAAGCTCTTTAACATGGAATTATAATTTTAAAATAAATAATATTTCTTGATAATTAATACATTTGCTTAACTAAATTAATTAACACTAGTTTATTTTATTTATATATATAATTGCAATATATATATATAGCTTTATCTGGCAATTGAGAATTGAATGTCCATTTCGTCTAATGATGTCTAGAATTTAATAAATAAATTCAATTGTATGATAATTATTGCGAAAAACTCTTGTTTCATTCAAATCTAATTGTCATTTATGGTCACAATTGTAAGAATTGTTGAGCAAAGAGTTTGTCCTCAAATGTCCTTTTCATGTATCTCTTGTTAATCATTTAAGAATTAATGACAACCATTATAAGGGTTTCATTCAAACAATTCATACTATGAGGGAAAGGGAGGGAATGACTGAATTCTAAATTTTGATCAAATGTAATAAATTATGTAAAAGTGAACAGTTGTCCACAGATTAAATTATATACCAATACAAGTATAATACATAATTTAATAAACTATATTTTTTGACATTTTTGACAGAAGTTTATCGATTTGTTGATTTAATAAAGTATTGTTTGATTGAATCTGTTCTCAGGTGTCGTGGATTCGTCGAAAAGATTTTCACGTAATCACAGGTCTATTGAATTAAAGCAAATATAGAGACATTAAATAGAATTAATAAATATCTAAATATTTTGGTCAAATAGTGGGCAAATTTACCTATACATCAGACCAACGCTTTCAAGCCGTTCATATGGATAATAGCGACGACTGGACTCTTCAGATACGTTACCCTCAGAGAAGAGATGCAGGAATTTATGAGTGCCAGGTATGCCATCATTGCTTGTAATCTAATCACATTCATTAATACACCAATTTATTATCTTATACTGTATTATGTAACTATAAAAAGTAATAATTATCATATTCCTGTCTATAGGTATCAACTCTTCCAAAGATGAGTTTGTTTGTTGAGCTCAATGTAATCGGTGAGTCCCATCATTGTTAATGCCATTCCCCTTTAATGCCATAGTTACATCTATCATCCCATTTAATGGTCACATATTTATGAATTACTATTTTATTATTTTTTATATGTATTTCATTATCTATTCATATGAATTTATTGTATTATAATGCAATTAAATATCATAATAGTTATATAAGTATCTTTAATTTTTAAAATACAGTATACAGTATTTCTACTATTGATATGCTTTTTATTAAAAATAAATATTTTATATAATTATTAATATAATAGTTAATTGCTTAAATTATTATATTTGGTTTAATGAATTCACTACATTTGAATAACTAATAGAAATATCAGAATTATACCAAAATATATTTTTTAAAAATAAATATTTTATATAATTATTAATATAATAGTTAATTGCTTAAATTATTATATTTGGTTTAATGAATTCACTACATTTGAATAACTAATAGAAATATCAGAATTATACCAAAATATATTTAATATAATAGAAAGAAACATAGTTTTAGTTTTATTTATTTGTTTCATTTTATTGAGTAAATTGTAATTTATTCCAATAGATAGTATTATTAAGTTATTTAATACATTGATATTTAATAAATTACAGTATAAAAGTATTATTTGTACATATTGTAAATTCTTATTATTTATGTAATATACTAGTATACTGTAGGTACAGAAAGGGTGTTTTTTAATATATTGGACGATTTCAAACTGTAAAAACTTTTTTATTATAAGATATAATGTAATGTTTTAGGTGTTAAATGATAGATTACTTATTAGAGTTTATATTCAAAACATAAGAAGTTTGAAATAAATTACGATAACAAAATTAAAAATATTGAAAGGCGATCACTACCTAAAAATATTTTCCAATCAATGGGCCATTTAACCTTGTATTCACTTCAACAAAATTAATCACAAATTATTAATTTGATTAAATTTTAAATAAGGCCCGAATTTATACACAAATATCGTATCCATATTAATATTTCATACTTCCTTAATTAAAATCTTGATTATTTTGACAATTGAACCAAGTCCAAATGAACAATGAGCCATTCAATGTTTAAAAGCTCTGGAAAATAATAAAACATAAGCGCGGCAAACTTCGGTTGATCAAAATTAGGAGGTCAATATTTAAATGTCAATTTCGGTGTTAATTTATAGTTAACATAAAGGGTAAACAAATAGAAATGTTTTACAATTAAAAAAAATAATATTAATAAATATTTTTAGTTACATAAAACCTCCAAACTATTAAGAAACACCCATCTGTATATATATAAATTTATTATTAGTGCTGTATTTCAAAAAGGTCTTTTGCTATTATATTTGTTATGATAGTTTAAAGATTATTGATTTTGCCATTAAATATTATGGCTATTATTTATTGCATAACGTAATTATTACTTTAACAAGAAATTATTATACGAGTTCAAATAATAATTATAATTTGATATTTAATTTGATATACAGTAAGAATAATTATAATTTGGTTAAAAAATCCATTGTGTTGACAAGTAATACAATTAGTTAAAATATTTTTATTTAAATAACATGAAAATGTCAAACTTATAAACTAATAAACAGAATAATTAATCATAAAATTATTGTATTTTTTAATATACGGTATTATTATGACATTTTATATATTATTTTTCACACAGTTATACACGACAATATTGCGTAATATTATTGCCATATTATGTACTAAATGGAAACCTGTTATAAAACAAAGTTATAAATTATATTTTTGCGAAAAATTAAAATAACTCAATGTATAAAATATTTTTAAAATAATAATAATAATAATAATAATAATAATAATAATAATTAGGGTAAATATTCCCCAAATACTTTTTGATTAATGAGTCCTAAAGATTTTGAACATAGTTTATAAACCTTATGTTATGTACATATGTATAAAAAACATTTTCCCTGTTGCTTGTTATAGGATAATTTCTACAGGAACCATTTATCATACAAGATTTCCGCAAATAAAATAATCAAATAAAATATTAAACCATAGATTATATATACAAAAACCGATTTAAATGAGCTGTATGTTAGATTGTCGTATTTGGAAATGGAGGTCATGTATAGGTCGGACAAATGTCGATCGCCAAGCAGACCACTGTTTTCTATGAAATTTATAGAAAAATAATAATTATAATCATCAAGCAAATCAAACACGTGACCAAATAACGATGACTCCATAAGACGCCGAAAACTAATTAAATGTGAAATACAATTTATTATATTAGTAATACGGCACAAATAACAATTATTTAATTAGCAGTAAAAATAAAATATCTATGCAAATTTGTAGCAAATAAATTGATTCTTTACATATCAATTATTACATGCATCTACACTTTTCTAATAAAGTTTCATGGGTATCTAATGAATGGTCTCTTGAGGATTATCGACGTTTAAAAAATATTTGTATTTTATAGGTAAAATAAGAATAAACTACAGTATATTTACTTACATAACGTGAGTTTGGTTGACAAAGTTAAAATTGGACTCGTAACATAGAGCCGATACCGGAAATAATAGATCAGGCTCACCCACGTGTACGGGCACAATACGGGGTAGAATTTTCATGACAAAGCTTATATAAGATGGGTTCACAATATATGCGCGATCCTTAAATACATCGAACGTTGTTTGTGTACCCTGGACAATTCTCTCATAAATGGTCATGGTCTTTTCCTGGTCTAGTGACTGTAACTTCTGTAATAATTTGTTGAATTTGCGTTTAAACTGCGGCTCAAAATGTGCTTGAAACTCATACGTATTGAACTTCTTATACAAGCTTTCGTCGGTATAAACCTCGAGCCTATTGTCCAATAGGTCGTCAAACGTGTCGACATTCATGGCATTCCTGTTCACCATTTTGGACGTCAAGTCATTTTGAAAGATATACACGAATGGTGTGATCGATAGGACCCACAATATATACAGGGCATTTTTAAAACCCCTAGGTTCGCTCATTAACAATATGGGCTTGAAATAAATCCACATGCTACTTATTAAAGATTTACATTTAATCTTATCAAATCTTCCAGAAATGGCCTTGTCAGTTATTATTACTAAAATAAACACCATTATTAGGGCTAGCCAAACTGTTTTGTCAAACACGGCCCACATATCACGCATAGCGTTAAATGGTTTAAAAACGTCCATACTCAGATAAGTCATAGTGTGGTGTAAAACTAATGGCTCAGTACAATTTAATGAACGAGCTTGAGTATTCATGATATAATCCATATCAATTATCATATACGATGTTATTAATCGATTTCGTAACATGTCGTACAACGATATGTTATGACTCTCATCATGCTCATTGCAATCGAGTACATTTAGGTGTAAACTGGCAATATAGATAAACAAGGTTGGAAGCAATGCTATAGAAATTCACATTTACAGCTAAGCTAATATAGAATTAATTATATTTTCACAAATTATAGATACTTATGGTTAATTAATAAAATCTATAAAATTATGTTCTATCACAATTAAAATTGTATTTTGCATTAACTTTTGTAAACTTAAATTAGTTAGAAGATAGGGGAGGACAGGAAAGGGAATTGCAAAATAGGGGATTGCAGGAAATGAATGTGCTAGATAGGGAAGGGTAAGGTGGGGTGTGTGTGGTGGTGTGGTGGTACAAACCAAAGGTATAACCCAATTCTTTTACAACGTAAATGTGGGTAAAATTATATTATAATACAGATTATACATTTTTAAAATATTAAAATAATTTTTACCTATAATTAACATGATTCCCAATTGCTTGTAATTGTGGGCCGATAAACGAGAAATAATAGGCGGACTTCTTTCCACTCATTGACTCCATAAAAAATTGCTAGAAATTTAAAATCGAATAATTATTTAAATAGAAATTCAAAAATATAAATAAATACACTATTGACAAAAGTAGCAATATGAAATTTGTTGTCATTATTATGTTGTTGACCAATCGATTGGTAAGAGTTACAGTCAATATAAGACATGTTTACAGTCTCCACAAACTTTAACCACACAACCAATGCATGCCTTTCAATATATCCATACGGATTGACCAATGATATGATAGTACTCTTGTCCATAGTTGTGATAATAGCTATTTTATAAAAATATTTTTTAAAAACAGATTTTTACAAATTGAGTAAGATTATTATAGAATTGAGGACTTTACAATTAAATCGGAAACATCGTGAAGTGAAAGTAAATTGAGTGATTATGATTGCCATGATTAGTTAGCCAATAACATAATTAAAATTTTGAATTGACTAAAGTTGGCCAATTAAGTAAATTAGCTTGTTAAATTAACATTCAACCACCACTGACATCCTCATTTTGTCATTGAAATAACATTCAATTTAATTGAATACAATGTTATACTAGTATTTTTTGTTCATATATCGGTAATTTTTTTCTGGAATTATGTTATATTTGACGGCACATAACAGTTAACATACATTTTATGTAGAATCCATAGAATTTATGAAATTTCAATAACAAAATGTGCTAGTTGAACGTGAATTTAACAAGTTAATTTACTTGATTGGCCAATTTTAGTCAATTCAAAATTTTAATTATGTTACTGGCTAACAAATCATGGCAATACTAACCACTCAATTTACTTTCACTTCACATGCTTCCGATTAAGCTTAATTTAGTTTAGGCTAGGTTAGATTAAGTAAGATTAGGTTACCTTTACATAAAGAAAAATATGAAACTTACTACAATTTGAAATAAAATGCACCAGGCTATATAATACACTCGTAAATTATAGCTATTTACAAAATTTCAAAATAATGCACCTTCAATATATTATAGTTAAAATGATGGATACCTTATTTACGAAATCTTAAACTTCACTATAAATCTAATAGACAGTAAATTATATTTATAAGTAATTTTTAAGTATAAATAACAACATAATATAGCTGTACAAGATTTAATTGCATTGGGACTTAATACATTATTTACTAGTTTATCATTTGATATAAAATTTGTTATTGCAAAATTAATTGAAATTATATTGAAAAATATTTCTAGTTTAACATGAGAATAACAATTAATATTTAATGCTTTAATTAATACACATTTTATGTCATATCATGTTGAAATGGGAATACGACAATATAAAAACAAATTATTGTATTAATATTTAATTGTTATTATGAAAAAATAGTTTTAATTTTGTAATAAATATTAATAGCTAATTAATTTAACCATATTTCAGTGTATAATAGATAATATGATTATAAAATCCTGGTCACCCTGCACCAAAAATTGATATACACCGGTGCTATATATAAGCTAAAATAAATTATAATATGATTTGACTTATATAAATATGAAGTGCCGTACATTCAAATCCTAA